TATTTGTATGAAGTTCAAGAATGCACAAACTAATGTATGATGGTGGAAATCTGAACAGTGGATGTCTACAAGGGAAGATCAGTTTTTGACTAAAAAGGGACACAAGGAAACTTTCCAGGGTAATGGAATTGTTCATACTCAACGTGCTTAAGATATGTGTATTTTTCCCTACATAAAATTATACTCTAATGAAAAAATTAAAATGTAAAATAATCATAAGAATACATGGGCCAAATAGAACAATTTATGACCTGTTTTCATCCCTGACTGCATTCTGGTAGTAGCAACCCAAAGATTCATGGACAGAAGGATGTTCATTAACTACCCTTCTAGGCTTAGAAGGATTTCCCTTATGTGGGGGCTGCTAAGAGATGCTAAAAATTTTCCAGGAAGAGCCTGCATGAGAGTGATCACAGCTGCTGGGTCCCTTTCTAGTCCCAGCCCGGGCTTATCACACCCCCACAACTGTGGCCCAGGCCTGCGGATGAGGTTTTGCTGCTCTGTGCCTGGGTTGGGACGCTCCCATGAGCTGTCTGTTCCTGTGTTTAGTCCTTCCACAAGGCTGCCCAAAGTCCATAATGCTCATCCTGAAATAGTTTACTTTAACCACAGCCAAGATCCTCCCTAAATCAGCAGATCTCAACCTGGATCTGACCCCTAATGGATCTCCGGGTAGAATTGAGGAGCCCATGAACCTGAATGGGAAAACAGTAGCCTTAGTTTTACTGACCTCTGATAGAAACTCGGCATTTTCTTCAATTATGAATGTAAGCAACAGACTACAATAATGTTAACAATAATGAGATTACAAATAAAAATCACAAGTAATTTCATATCATGTCACAGCTGTAGAAGATATCTTGAAAAATTGTTTATGGCTGTCACAACTTCAAAATTATGGTAATTATCATGCCTGCCATGAAATCTTCTTATTTAGTGAATTAATAAAGGAGTACATATATATGTCGCTTAAAAATATTTTGGTAATTAAATTTCAATTTAGCTGCTTTCTACAATGCAATGCTATGCATTTTGTTTATGCATTTACAGACATTTTACAGAGGTCTGTATTAGTTTTCTATTGGTACTGTAAGAAATTACTACAAACTTAGTGTATTAAAATGACTCAAATTAATAATAATAATAATCCCTGTTCTATTGGTCAAAAATCTGAGACTTGGAATATTTTCAACTTAATGTGGGTTTGTGGAGAAGTAGCCCCACTGTTGAGGGTTTGTACAGGGTTTGGTACTACCCACTGGTTCAGGCATCCACTGGGGTTCTTACTGGGATAAAATCAAGATGTCAGCGGACTCATTAAAAGCACTGGTGGAGAATCTATGTCCTTGCCCTTACCAGCTCCTAGAGGCTTCCTGCATTCCTAGTGTTATGGCTCCTTCCTCCATCTTCAAATCCAGCAATGAGGATTGATTCCTTCACACATCACATCACTCCAACCTTCTCTTCTACCACCCTTTTCCATGTCTAAGGACCTTGAGATCACACAGGACCGATTCGGGTAATCCAGAATAATATCCCTATTTTAAGGTCAGCTGATAAGCAGCCTCAATTCCACCTGCAGCCTTTATCCCCTTGTCATGTAACAAGACATATTCACAGGTTCTGCCTGCCTATTGTACGGCTCTCATAGATTCCATCAGATTACCCAGGGCTCGGTGGTATGGAGTCTGACATCCTGCCCTAAACCCTGGTCTGCCCTGTGTTTGCTGCTCCTGGCCATCCTGCTGCCCTGTGCTGGCCTCATTCCAGTTACCTCTACAGCCAAACCAGGCAGGATACCTGTGAGAAGCACAGCCTTACCCTCTTGCCAACTGACCAACTCCTCTTGCAGACCTCAACTCATCCTCTTCCTCTCTGTGTTGCCTCCTTGCTCATCTGCCTGATGAAAGTGGCCCTCCTGCATGTACCTCTAGATCTGTATTTGTCCTCTGTCGAGGCCTCATTTCTGCTTTTGAGTCATTTACTTTTTTATTTCTCCAATTGGACCATGAACTTCTCGAGGTCATGACTAAGTCTTTTTCACTGTGTTATCTCTGGCTTATCGCTAATTGTATCCAAACCATCATGAGAATTTATGTTTGGTGGAATCAATAAACAAAGCAGAACTTCCTAGAAAGAGAAATAGAAGCAAGTAGAATTTAAGAGAAATGCTAGAAATAAAACTGAGATTTGAAAAGATTTATAAAAATGCTTCGATTTCTGGGCTGTCTTCAAAATATATTTCATTGTGGGCTGTCCTAGAGCCCAGATTCTGCTACCCAGCTTCACCCAGATCCTGCCCAAATCCATCCCGGGGCAGCCCAGGGTCTGACAGAGGAAATCACGTGGATTTCAATCCAAAGTGGCTGGGAACCCCCTTTGCTGTGGGTAACACTGAGAAAATAGCTCAGCTCACCACTGAATTGTCATTGTGGCCAAAGAGAGACCCTATCTTGATTTGTGGATACTCTGGGGACAGGGGACATGAGTGTGCTTCCTCTATTGCCTTGTACTAGATGACTCGCCTCCTTTTGAGATACCTGTGAGCTCTGAGAGAGCCCAGAACATGGACAAAGAAGGGCTTGGAGGTCTGAGGTAGGATAGGCTGGATTTCCGAATTGTTTGTTCTTAGTGGACTGTGAAATACTGATTATTTAACTCTGCGGATTTGTGCCTTATACTGTGTAGAGGAATAGCCCAGTTTTACCAAAAACTTGTAAGGTTGAAAATAGTTATTAAAATTAGAAGGATAGCATATGGTCTTCCAAACTACAGCCTTAAGTGATGGCTCAGTAATACTCTCAAATTCCTTTGCCATCTAGCCTCATGTAAATATAGATGCAATCAAGATACACCATCCTGTATTTCTTCGCCTGATGGCTTTAATTGCTATTTTTCTTCAATAAAATTGGATGCAACACAGAATTGTCAATATTGTTGGTCTAGAGGTCAAGAAGCCTGGATCTAGCTCTGGATTGATCTCTAGCCAGCAATATAATGCCAGGCAAGTTATTTAAGTTCACCTAAAGAGCTTGTTAAAAATTGAGGTGCCTGAGGCTCCATCACACAGTTTTAATCAGAAATGTCATTGAAGAGCACCGGTAATCTGTATATTTACCAAACACCTGGATGATTGTTAGTACCAAGGGACCACTGAATTCAATAACTACATTCAGCTGGTGGATGTGGTCACCTTCCTAAAGAAAAGCACCAGGAATCTTTGCTGTTAAAATAACAGGGCACCTTGGGGTCAAGTAGTGGACTTGGCTCCCGTTGGCTAACATCTGAGTAGTGCAAATAGCATTTACTTGCATCGGTCTCTTTAATGAACGGCAAATGTCTTTCCTCTGAAAATCGACACTGGGGATTAGTTTGCTTTTCATCTCACTTGGAACCGGAATAAAAACAAGCTGAAATCCTTCTCCACAAAGACACATTTACCAAATATCAATCTTTGAGCAGACCATTGAGATTTACATTGTACCTTAGTATTATTTTTCCATCTTCCAAACAATTTGACCAGAAGATTTTTGTGGAAATGAAAATGTGAAGCCCAGGAGGTAGGGCTGGGATGAGGCAATTTTACATGGTCTGGCAGATGAGAACTGGCATGTGAACCCACATTTGTAGTGTGAAGAAACACTATTCACTGAGTTTGAACTAGCAAATGTATTATTTCCCTAAACATTTCTCCTGACCACTTTCATGTGATTGTCATTTATTCATCTTGTGCTGAGAGTCTGAACCCAAAGAATAGACTTTATTTCTGTGCTGGTGATTAAAAGAGGAAAGTGTGCCAAGTGCAATGGGTACTTCCATCTAAGGAGACTGACAGTATCCTTTTTTTTCTGCTGAAGAAATAACAAAAAACAAGAGAAATATATAAACTGAATTGTTTTCAAGCCTATCTCATGTGCACACATGCATGTGCATGACTGTGTTGTGTGTGGACCTGTGTGTGCATGCATGTATGTGAGCACACCACAAATGCAGACTAAGCTAAGGTTAGCATCCTCCAGAGTACAGTGGGAGGTCTGGAGCATTCCCTCTGTACCCTGGCAAGTGAGTGTATGAGGACACAGGACAATGCCTGGCAAATTGTTCTTTTTCCTGATATTTGCCTGGCCAGTGTGCCAGGCTCTGGGGTTAGTTACAGGTATGTGCTGTTACAAGTATTGACATCTAGCTGGGAGAAGCCCATCGGGCTGATGGATGGGACTGAATCGCAAACGTCTGTCAACCCTGCCTGTCAGAAGCCTGCCAAATGAAAGATATGCCAGGCTGACTCAACAAAAAGCTAAGTGTCGGCTGCTGGAGAGGTGAAGGAAGAGAGAATGGAGGGAAATAGCACTGGTTTTACATGGGAAGAAGCTGTTTGACTTGTTAGGCCTGATTTCTGGGAACGGGCCAAGCAGTTTTTCTTGGTGTCATCTTAATTATCTTCTGTGCAAAAAAGAAAAAAAAAAAAAAAAGAGGCAGTGAAGTGTCAACAGTTAATTTGCATTGTCAATTGATTATTTTTTTCTTTCTAGGAATTCTTCTCACTCACAAACCATATTATATAACCATCTGTTTTTCCCTGAAGATGGATTCTGTTAGCTTTATTCATTCCTGTCTCTTCAGAAGATGTATTAACATTGCCAATATTGAGCATCTGTGTGTGAGAGAAGGAGAAGGAGAGAGAGTGTGAAAGAGAAGAGAGATTGATTTTTGATTTGATGGTTTTTCTTTTTTAAACAGGTAAGTTTTATGTAAGTTGACACATTTTCTCTTCCTTTCTGGTCTGCAAACTCCAGTGGCCATTTTTGCTTAGGACCAGATGCTATGTAGAAATCAGAGCCAAACTTATCTTACTCGGGGGCTTAGATGGGAAGGAGAACCTTTCTCGAGGTAAAGATGGGAAATTCATGCAAATTAAAATTTCAAAAAAAGAGATCTGGTTTCTATTCTTGGTTGGCACTGTCCTTAGAAGGTACATCATTTACCCACTTGGTGTCTATTTTGCTTCTTAGAAAATGGAGAAAGTTGTGCATCCTCCCTCATTTTGGGAAAAAAAAGGCAAGAACAAAGGAACATGGTCATTTTCTGCTTTCTGCGTTTCTGATTCCACTTTTTTTTGAACTGGGTAAGAAGATTTTATGTTACTCATCACATAATTTTTTAATTTAAAATTGTTATTTATTATGGGTACATAATTGTTATATATCTTTATATGATGTTTTCACACAGGCATACAATGTGAATTAATCAAATCAGGGTAATTGGGGTATCCATCACCTCAATCACTTATCATTTCTTTGTGTTAAGAAAATTTCAATTTTACTCTTTTAGTTATTTTAAAATATACTCTAACTTATGTTGATTATAGTCACTTTGTTGTGCTGTCAAATATTGTTAACTCTATCTAATTATCTAGTTGTGTTTTTGCACCTATTGACCATTCCCACTTTATCCCCCTCCTTGCTACCCTTCTCTTATATATAAGAGAGAAGACCTAAATAAGTAAAATCATAGAATGGTTTCACCTTTTTTGATTATTTCATATTCTCTGATAAAGGACCGGTATCCTCATCTCCTTTTTCCATTTATTCAAGAGTGTTGGCTAATGTCTGAGTAGGCAAGCAGAGTGCCTGCATGTACGCAGTTGGCGGCAATGGGCATGCGCAGTGAGGACTTGGTCAAGGTGGTCTGCTGAAAGGCCGTCTTCTGAGTAAGCTGCGTCTGAGGTTAGGAGGTGAGTGACTGTTTGGGAAGGGACATAAAAAGTGCCTTAAAACTGACTTCTCCAAGTTTCCCTCTGCATCCCTTCTTCCTTTCATTTTGGCCCTCAAAGATACCAGCCCCTCCCATCGCCTTCCTATGCTTGACGCAGTGGACTCCCAGACCCAGGGAGAGAGGCGGAGGACTTGTGTGGCACCCCTCATGTGGCAGCCTCTGAGTGCCCTCCCAGCCCACAGACCCAGAGACTCCTGCCTCCACTCCCCATCCCCAGTAAAACCTACCAGAGTATCCTGTGAAGAATAAGGCTAAAAAGTTTTGGGTGAGTCAATGAAAAAAAATGAATTAACTGGTTGATGTTGCTCTACTTCTCTCACTCTGGGTGGAGATGAGCTAGGAGAATATATTCGAAGAGTTAATTAATGAAAGCCAGGGGGTCATTTTTTTTGTATGCCCTAGAGAGTGAGCAAGATCTGAGAGGAAGCCCTCAGGCAAAGCTCCTGAGCTCTTTGGGCCACTGATAATGAGATAAGGTTTAGAGAAATTCAGTGTTCTGGACCCTGAAAAGAGGAGGCTCCTTGGGATGCTGGGGCTTTCTGCTCCACTAGCTCGGAAATCCTGGAACAGAAGCATCTGTGGTTACAGAGACAGTGGCCAGAGGAGAGAAGTTCTCAGTTCCACTCAGAGTCTGGCTGGTCTCATCCTCGCTGTGATCTTAGAGCTTGTTGTGAGATAGAAGAGATTCCTTTAGCGAATGATGAAGATGGGTTTTTTTCACCATGCCTTTGATTGGAGAGTTCTGCAGGCTCACCCTGGCCAGTGGATCGGTGCTCTGGCTATGGAGGTAGCAGTGCCAGGTCAGAAAGGAGGTGTCATCCTCAGAAGCATGAATTCAAGTTTCATAACAGCATGCAGTGTTCTTTAATGTCAACGTTGAGACACTGTGGTTGGGATTTTCTCTACCTGCTACGTTCTTAATTAAGGCAGCACCTTTGGGCATCATCTCTGTAGTTGCTCCTTGCTTATTAACAAACTGTTATGAAGTAGCCTCCATGGTTCCTTTAATATGCGAGCAATATGACCATGAGCAACCCATTGTTCTTTAGAGGTTAGTAATAGGGAAATATCATCTATTGTTTTATCATTTGAGTCAGAAGAGGCATCTGAGGATCTGTAATATGCTACACTAAATGTAACAACAGAAGATCAGTTTGTCTTTCAAAGATATATTAATATTTGCTTATTACTTTCTGGAGAGGCTTTGGGTAAAGCATAACTGTTTTGAACTTTTATCTCCTTCAGGGAGGCAAACGGTTGCATGCTCACAACTTACTGCCTTGTGCTTGTGTCTTTCTGAAGATGTTTTCCTAGCATACACTTTTCTCACTCAGCTGGTATCTTCTTTCCTTTACATTTTAACATTTAAAACATATCCTAAAGCTTCTGGCCTCCTTGAAGCCTTTTCAGAAAACTCCTGTAAATCTCTTTGGATTTGGTTGGCTCAGTCAACACTTATTTGAAGCCGAAACAAACTATTAATATATTTGTGACTTCCATTTCTTATTTGCACATTATAGTGTCTTTTCATTTAACCTGGACTTAGTATCTGTCCCAGGTAGGCAAAGAAGTTCTTTGACATTGCCAAGATATTGAGAAGCATGTTCTGTGCATGTTGGATGAAGTTAATGGAGTCTAACTGCTGGACGAGTTGGGGGTCAGATTTAACTTGGCAGAGAGATAATGAGACATAAAGGCCAGAAGGGTGGCTGATAAAAAGGCACAAAGTTACCTGAATGGGCTATATTCTACTTGAAGGTCCCTGTCCAAATGTAATAAAGAACAGTGGTGGCTCCAAGTGCTAGTATTACCATCTGATAAATATTTGGCCATTTCCTGCTTTGAGCTCCTAGTCTAGTTCCTAGAGAACATATGCCCTGCAGACTTCAAGTTATAATTATCCTTTAAAAAAATACAATTTGTGAAAATATAACTAAATAAAACCTAGTGCCAAAGGCAGGAAGAAAGACCAGTCTTACTGCTAAGTTGAAATAGCTCCTACAGTACACGGGACACTTTGTTCAGTTCTTTTACTGAAGACAGATTGGAGAAATAAGAAGCAGCTGAGTTTGGGAAATTAATTATTATATCATTTTGTCAAATCCTGTAATACTTTAAATGTAGGATTAGATGGACATCATCTTGGAACTAGGAGCTAAGAGGCAGCAGGGAATAGACGAGGAAAAGCAAAATGTTCTTGACTAAGCCATGAAATCAGTTTTTCTGAACAAAGGATAACCTTGTGCTAAAAGCAGTCAGGGTTAGAGCAAAAGATGTGTTCTACAGCCTCATGGACACCAGGGGCATAATCTGACCCAGGTGCAGCCCAATCCATGAATAAAATGGTGTTTTAAAACAGTATTTAATCGCACTTGTCTGGAATTTTGCCCCTCATTCCAGCTGTAGGATTTAATTAATCCTAACCCAGAGGTCACTCACTTCAAGACAAATGCCACAGAAGGGCAAGGAATTATCTCAATGTGGGTCACAGTTAGATGCAGCCAGTTTTCATTTTATTACTATTTTCAATTGTTCAAAGAACCTTGCTGAATGATTTCATTGTGCATGTACCTTCAGGCTTTCTAGAGCAATTTGGAAAATGCATTATAGAATAAACCACAAGATTATTAAAATGACTTAAAACAGTATGAGTCCAATTTTCAAAGGAGGTTGTAATATCCATATTTACTCATATTTCATCCCCTTGGATAATTATTCACACCTCATATTTTGAGGCTAGAATTTATAAGCATGTGTCCTAATTATCCCTCCCTCCCTGTCCCCTTTTTTTCCTTTTCTCTCTTTTCTGTTGAAGCAACTCTGACTTCTAGCAAGAGCTCTCGGGGGAATTTAAGAACTAGAGGCTGAGTGATCTAGACGAGAACACCAGAATTCCTCTTTAATGGGCTTTCCTTTCAACATGTCTAATTTTTTCTCTACCAAGGAATATATTTTGAACACAATAGAATGGGTTTGTCCTCACCACAGTTGGCAAAGGATTAAATTATAGGTTTCTTCTTATTGCTCTTCCATTGTATGTTTCTTACCTGTCTCTATCACCTTCTTTCCTGAGGTTTTAGGGATTGGGCTATGATGGCTGCTGACTGCCACTGAGTGAAATTAGGAAGGGGATGACGTGAGTAATAGCGCCCTGTGGTTGTCTGTCTGTGGATCTCATCCCCCACAATCCTAGGGGGAAGGAGAGCAGATTGGAGGTGATTTACCTGAAGCAGTTGCTTGGTAACCTGTTTGAGACCAAACACAACTGCAGCATTAAATATAAAACTTGAAAGAAAAGGAAATTTAAAAATAAAGCCTTCCTTTTAATCCCACATGAACCTTTTTTTCCTCCCTCTTCTCTAATTCATCTTGCCTTTTTGTCTCTCTCATAAAACTGTCATAGGTATATTTCACTCAAGATCTTTATCACAATCCCTTCCTTATTTCTAGATAAAATGTTGGATGTAGAAGAATGGTTTATTATAAAAATATAAAATAACTTGCCTAAGTTTCCAGAGTAGAAAGAGTCTAGATTTACAGCCAGACCACCAGCATTCAAGTTCTAACTTAGCTATTAACTACTGCAATCGTTTAACCACACAATGCTTCAATTTATTCAATTGCAAAATGGGCGTAATATTATACTTAAAATCTCCTTCTATTTCACCAGCGTTTGGTAAGACTGAAATGGGATAAATATTGTATAAAACTTAAGATTAAAATTATATGCTATAGAAATCTATAGTGCATGGTAAAAGAGCAGTGTCACAACTTGATCTTGGTTTTTTGTTAGTTTTGTTTGTTTCTTCTACTATACCAAGCAAATAGTAATAGCTAATATTTGTGTTTCTAGCACTGTGCTAAGTGGCTTACACGTATTATTTATTTATATAACTATTGGGTACTATTGCCATCTGTATTTTACCAACAAGGAAACAAAGGGATGCAGAGGTAACGTAAGTTGCCCAAGATCACACAGCTAATAATGGGGGCCTGGAATAGGTTAAATTTTTCTGTCCCCCTCTCCCGCCCCAAGAAATATCCAAGTTCTAATTCCTGGTACTTGGGAGTGGACTTTATTGGAAAGCAGTCTTTGCATGCAATTAAGTTGAGGGCCTTCAGATGAGGTCATTCATACTGGATTAGAGTGGACCCTAAGTCCACTGTGAGTGTCCTTATAGGAGACAGAAATGGACAGACAGACACACAGAGAGAAAATAACCGTGTGAAGAGGAAGGCAGAGATTGAAGTAATGGTGCCACAAGCCTGGAAATGTCTGGGCCACCAGATGCTGGGAAAAGGCAAGGAAGGGTTCTTCCCTACAGTCTTCAGAGGGAACATGGCTTTGCCAACACCTTCCTGCAGGACTTCTAGCTGCCCAAATGGTGAGAGAATATATTTGTATTGTTTTAAACCAACCAGTTTGTGGTAATTTGTTACACTGCTGTAAGAAACTAACACAGGGCTCCAGGATTCAAATTGAGGGACTCTGACTCCAGCACATGAACATTTGATCACTTTGTTTTATTTTCCTTTTTTATTTGGAATGTAAATAAATTCAGGAGAAAAGAAAATTACTCAAGTGAATGTGGTATAATTTTTGTGGTGAAGCGAAGTGGTTATTTGGGAAGTGATCTGGCACATGAGCTAAGTTGTTACATGGGGATGGGACTGCTGGAACTCCTAGTTCTGCATTTTCCAAAATGTCCAGTCCAGAAGTTTCCTAGAATAAATGTTTAAAAACTAAAGATCTCTCTCGGAAACAGGAAATAGTGCCAATGAAGACTACCCAGCTAAGATAAATAAAGTTCCTCACAAGTAAACTCAATTAAAGCAGAATACAAAATGTTTTTACTTGACGAGCTCAGATCTGTGTAATTATTATTAACAACAATGACAATGTCAATTTTGGATCAATATTGTTTTGTGATTTTAAAGAGAAGATAACTATTTGTTTCT